TTAGTATTGGTAAAGTGCATGAAAAACTGCCAGTTTTTCAGGCTGAGGAAGGCCGGCAGCATCTTCATAACTTGTACATTCACCTTGTCTGTTTGTCGGAAAAGTTTGCAATAAATCCTGGGTAAGATTTGTAGAAACAACTTGATGTAAAGAAGATGATCTGGCTTCCTCTGTAAAATCCGTATCATTTGGATCATCATCGGCAACATCAACAAAGTAAGAATCAACGTCATGATTATTTTGAAAATTTTCTGCATTTTGTGGATTCTCCTGCTCCTCATCTGGAGATGATGGTTGTTCCTCTGTAGGTTCAAATGATTTTCTCTCATTAATCTCTGAAATATCGATTTGTTCTGGTATATTTTCGCGATTAATCAAATGGAGGAGTTGATCAATCCTTTCTTTCATCCGTTCTCTTTGATCTTGTGTATATTCTTGACGAATATGCGGAGGAAGAGAGTACTCATTGTCAGGATTCTGTCCTTGATCGTCATCGTAATCAGAAGTTTGATCGGAAGAAAAGTCGAAATTATCCACCAAGTCAAATGGATCGTCTTCATCAATGCTGGGTGGCATATAATCCTCGTCTTCATCACTGATTGGTTCATCATCGTCTGAGTAATCCTCATCTTGTTCTTGAAGAGGTTCGATTGTTGCTCTTTCAAATGCCAAGATATTTGGAAGGGAGTTAATTAAATTAATTGCTTTGTCAAAAGGGAAAGAAACCTTTGGTATGTATGGTATCTCAACATCATCTTTTGCACCATCTCCCCTTAAATATTTAAATCTAATTTGATAATCATACCTGCCATATAGTGATAGGCTGTATGCTAATTCTAGCAAACATCTGTTTCCGGTATTTTCCATTCTATTTACAAGACAGCCATTTAATCTGTTTGCAAAGTCTTTCACCTTCGAAACAACGTATTTTTGACATTCTGCACATTCTTCTGTATTAATTGCTGCAGCAATATTGTTTGTGTATTCAGAATAATCATTATAAAATTTTGTTAATATTAGTAAAACCATTGATGGATCTAAACAATTGGATTCAAAAATGGTTGTTAAGGCAGCAAGTGGTTGAAGAAGGAGATACACGATGACAAACTGTTTGTCAAGAATGGTAATTATGTAAAGTATGTGTCAACGTCACTTTTTGCCTTAAAGCTTGAAGTTTTAGGAAGTCAAGAATTTATACTAATTTTTAGCAAATGGTATGCTCGAGAGAATGGTATATCATGCATGCAGTGTCCGATCATTAGTAAGCAAAGTCGTTTGTTACCACTGGAATTGGATATCTGAACAGCATTATATGCATCCATATCAGTGGGGTTTTAAGGATATGGACGAAAGTTGAACTCTTTCACTCTGAGTATTCCAACCGAATCTTCTTATTCTTCTTCTGGTATCTTGTGGGCAATGTTCATGTCCATTGGATCACACTCAATTTTGAACAAGGACCATCGTCTTCCCGATGATTTGATTTAATTCACCGCATTCTATTGCAATATGATATTTGTTGGTCCTGCTTAAACTCCCGGATACTTATGAGAATAGATCCCTCATTTCCAGGGTTGCCCATTCTAAATGAGTTATCTCCTAAGCTCCGTGTACATGAATTGTTTAAGGAAGCTGGGAGTGAGTAGTGTCGTATTTCAGTTCTATCGCCATTTACTGGCTTCGCAATCTTTGGCTAAGTTTTCGTTCTTCTGTTTGCTATTGCATCGCCCAATAACATTGAGCTACATACTCTTTCTTACGATCAGGGCGTTTTGGTATGTCAAATCCATATTCTAACTAGAACCTACTCAAAATCTTAAGAGTATGTCAGTCTAAGTTCTGGCGGTGGTGTGTTAAAGTGTTCTTTTTTGGTTGATTTGTATGACAAACAGTCACCTAGGTTGCTTAAGATTAGTGTCTTTGACAAACAGAATACTCGTTCTGTCATTGGGTTTATCGTCAGTTGTGAAGAGTTTCCACGCCTAATCTTATATACACAAGATCTCTTCTCAGGATATCTATGCCCGAACTTAGATTTGAAAAAAAAATTGAATTTTGTTGTGTGTTTTCCTTTGTGATTTAGATGCATATGACAAAATGGAAAGTCAAAAATCATGGTGCACGGTTGTGGTGTTGTATGGTGTCTCCCTCTATTCTTAGACTCCTGTTTCATTGTGGGATTTCGCACCTCTTGTCGTGATATATTTTAGATAATAAAATGCTTGTTTCATAGAAAAGATAATAGAAAATGAGGTGCTTTCAAGGAGGGTTAGACATACATACGTTACAAACCATCCATAATAGTCTAAACCCGTCGTTTTGTTTTCTTTCCAGAAATGGAGATTAATTCTGACAAAAGATATTTATTGTAATTTCTTTGAAGTATCTTGCGTTTAAAATCACCTATTCTAACCACTTGGTGTCATTTGTCTATGTTTCGTAAATGTTTGCAAACTCAATGTTTGTATTACTGCGTCTTTACAATACAAAATAACTAATGAAAATCATTTATTTTTTGTGCTGAATTCCAAAAATAAAAATAATGTTGAGGTGAAAAGGAGGTGAGATCTCACCCCGTTTTTTCATCTCCACCTCTTTTTTCGCAAGCGTTTTACATGAATATACGACTATATTTGAAATCCTAAACAACTTTCGTAGCTTCTATTTTCTTCTTTTAGTACATTTCAAATGTTTAACAATGCCGAACAGTCTCCTTTATATTTCTTCTTGAAACGTCAGACGAAGGAAATCTTCAAGCTGTTGGAGTAGTTTTTATAAGAAATGTCACATATCCTTTTATCTTCTCTGGCTTTTCTGCTTTTTTTTAAGTCTGCTATCGTTCTGCATTCTTCTATCTCTTTGATTGAAGTAGTTACTATTTTCTATTGCTGCTTAACATTTTGAACATTGCGGCCATCGTTTGCGTTATAACATTGAAATAAAACCAGCTAGAACAATAAGCGCGTCAATGGTTTTCTTTAACTCTAAAAGCTGCTGGTTTTATCGTTTCATTGCATACCTTACCGTCTCTATCTTTATCCTTATTCTGCCATACAGCTTTGCAACTAATAAAACAAAGTTATCGTATGTCTTAAATTCTTCGGATTTGTAAAGGTTCAGAATATTTTTATAAACCATGTCGCAATCTTTTGTCTCATAACTTTATGGTTGCAATGAAAACCAAGAATTCATAATTTACCTTTCGTATGAATCTTCTTATTCTACTGGTCAGTTGCTTTGACTTCTAATTTCGTCGAATTCAGGAATAGTTTACGATTTTTGCTGCTGAATTTTCAAAGTAGTTTAGGCAATGGCGATGAGGTTCTCCATTCGTAAAGATCTGTTCATTTTGTTATCGATTCTTTGCACTAACAGTCTAATTTACTTGTTAATAGTTCTGCTATTATTCTTTGTTTTTTCCGTTTTCGAAAGTAAATGAAAGAGGAATGAACTTTTCATTTCTACCTACCATAATGTTGGATTCAATGACTAGCGAGTTTGGTTGCTGTTATTTGGAAGAGTCCGCTGTTCGTGGCTTGTAATTGTTGTTGGTGCCGATTGTTGAAACTTCACCCTATTTGTTTATACTAAAATAAAAATAAATAAAAATAAAATAACTTTATTTTTTTCTATCCTTAAGGAAATCACATGAATTCCACGAGAAGGCTAAAGCAATCTGGCCGCTAAGCGGCAGGGTGAAAAAACATGGTGAGATCTTCACCTCTTTCATCAATTATATTTTTGGTGTAAATTATGAACAAAAATACTGGTACATTAATAATACATGACTGTTCTCATTCATGTCTGATTTACATCTAATGAAAAGTTTGAAAATTTTCTTAACTATTTCTGGCTTATTTTTGTATTTTCCAGTACTCCCGCTCTAGTGGTCCAGAGTTTGACTTCGACTCTCTCAAGTTCTTAGATGGTATACTTACATCTTCAACGCCTCCTTCATATCTTACTTTATAAGTGTCATCGTTTATGTTGTAGCCCAATGTAGTTTTCAATAACCAACTCCTGCTTTGTTTCGTCATGGTTTCAGCAAGTTTGCCATTACTACTTTCAACTAATTCTGACGAGGATAAAGTGCAATAGAGTCGTCCAGCAGCTTGTAACTAAGATATCCATTACCTTGCGTAGACGTCTACGATATACTAATTTTCGAACTTAACTTTAAACGTTTCTTTGTCAAACGGTTGTTTCCCGTTCCAAAGAACTACAACGAACTTTTGTACCAGGAATGAGGGTAAAATTGTGTTGAATTTCTGATATTTTGTGTTTGGCTGGTTTCTTTTGTATATACTTTGTCTTCTTGTTGTTGTGTCATTGAATTGGTGTATGCCGTGTTGTAGAATGTGTTGAGGAATTGTAAACTTGATGAAATGTTTCATTGTCTTCTTCGGTAAAGTCTCGCTCTTGGTTTAAATGCTCTGAGCGTTCTTATGAAGCGGTTTATGATGCCGAGTATGTTAGGTTAGGTTTCAGTAGTGTGTGAGTTATGTTATGCTTAATGAGAAAATCTGTGTTTCATTGCTGAGGTATGCACTGTCTTGGTCTGAATGTTAAAGTATTGGGCTATGTTCTGATACAAACTTTTGTAAAACTCTAAAACTTCATGAGTTCCTTTATTCCTTCATTGGATAATATGCAATGCTTTAAACGAGGGTTACAATTTTATGAAAAAAGAAAATGAAAAAAAGGAATGTTTATGTCCTCTTTTCTGCTTGGAATGAGAGTGTCAAATTTGGGTATGCGTCCAGGAGTGTTGGAGTAAATTGGTAAAAGTAGTCGTAAGGGTTTAATTTTTGTTTTGATCTACCACAGTTTGTCAAAGAACGTTTTTTAACTTCAGCTCTGTTATAATCCCAACCTCTTTGCAGCTTCATTGAACTTCTTTTAATGACCTCCATGGGATGTTTCGGAATACTTCTTTTCAAGCTCATTTATGTAGAAGTTAAAGATTTTATTCTAGGCTCAAGTCGGTTCCATCTGAACGCGGACCATGCAAATACAGTCACAATGGTGGCAATATATCTGCACCCGAGCCTGTTGGATTTGTTTGTGAAAGTATGGACATGATTTCTGGGGTTCCACAGAAATACCTGTGCTTGAATCTACTGGGTCACTTGAAATATCATATCTATCCATTCCTGTCTATCGAACTGCTGGCCAAGATTTTCTACTAACCTCTTTTTGTTATTGGAATGTGAAATGATTACCTGTTGTTTTGTAGTTCCCTATATGAGTGTGCGGTGGAAAGGTTTGCTTTCAGTAATTTTCTTGAACCTCCTGTTTGCTTTGAAAGTTGTCAACAGGTATAAGAATATCTACGAATCTGCTTCACGTACCAAAACCCAGAATCTGTTGCTGGATTTGTTGAGTTCATGACGTATAAATAGAGAGCCTATAAGATATAATGTTTGAAGTAGTTTCAGTCTTTAATGTTTGAAGCTCTGTTTTGGTCTGCCTTTTCTTATCATATAAATCTGAGCAGTGAATTTAACATTATTTTCATCACCCATGACATAAACATTTTTACAGTCTATTTTTTCGCCCGTTGTTTGTTTCATTGATGTAAACCTTGTGGAAAGTTAGCGAGGTTTATAAATAATGCATCCCCAATCAGTTCCGCACCGTTCCTTTCAATACTTTTCTATAGCAACAGTAGTGAAGGATTTTGTGTAATGTCTTTGTCAGCTTTCTTCTTCATCTTACATGCTGGTAGTCATGTGTTTCAATAGTTTCCTGAAGACCTTAACTGTCATCCATTTACTATTTAATGGAGTTATGTATCCTTTTTACGTTATCTTGATTCTCTAAAGGTGCACTGGAACCAAGGGTAATAAGTTCAATATTATGTCGTCTGCTCTATACAGGTATGAAGGATCATCGTGTACGGTCTTGTCGGCTTACTATTTAATGTAGCTTGCAGTCATTTATATCGGAGATATTGTGTTTAAATGAGATTTCAAAACTTTTGTTCATTGCGTAAGTTCAATTTGTCAGCTTTTACTTTTAATAGCATCTTACTTCAAAAGTTTTATTTTTGCCTTAACTCTCAAAGTAATCTGGTTCAACTAATACACCCGTAACATTGAAAGTAGATGGCATAAATCTTTCACCGGTATAACCAAATGCTTCTGGTGCTTTAGCTACTCATACCGTACAGTAACAACTTAATGTCATTAACCTTTAGCACGAATGTTTGTATATCTTCTTCATTAACATTTTTTGTCTTCACCTTCTTCATCCTATGTTTAAACTATCCGTGGTAGTCCCGTTATTAATCTGTTGTCTGAAGTTAATATAATGAACGTGGTTCTTGACTTTATCACTTCAGAGCTAAAAGCTAATTTTGTCTGCTTTTTCGGCTAATTTCTTCATTAACATCATTCACTTTAATTCAAGCTCTTCCGCCAGAACTCTTATTATCATTTATCTTTTTCCATTAATTCGGTATTACGTCATAAAGCTATATTCTGTTTTCGGTTTGTTAATAATGATCAAAATTTCTTTTCATCCATTACATCACTGACCTTAATGATATCACCAATTCTTTTCATTTATTCTTTCATTAATTCTGGCAATAATGACGAATATATAACTGTTAATTTATTCTCTTCATGATGGTTTATAGGAATGTTTGAAATTGAATCATTAAACTCTCTAAATAAATCACTAACTTCAGATACACGTTTTTAATGTCTCGAATAACCCGACCAGTAATCCTGTTGTTCATGTTCTTTCGTTCCCGTCGTTCGTGGTTTTTTATATCTCTAACCCATCATCAACCGAGCCATAACCGGAGGGTTTTGTTGCTATCTGTTTCGAAAATCGTCCGTTATTATGTTATTTAAATAATTCTTTGTGTTGTTAAACATTTTGAAACAAGTTTCTTTAAAACCATCTAACAAAATTTCCTGTTATTCACAATGTTCTTGCAGCAATTTACACGCTCACCCATTCCGCTTGACCCCAAAAACGTCCATATTGCATTTATTCACTCTGTATATTGTGTCCATTCACGAAACTAACACCTCGCAATTCGCTAAGCTGAAATGCACATTCAGTGGATCGAACATTAATTCCACCTCTTTATTCAATTTCAACGAACTCACTAACATGAATTTTAATATTCTTTCCGTTAAAACGTTTTCTACCCCGATGTTATGTCATTAACGAACTATCACACTTGTCAAAAGTTAAAGAATTCAATTTCGTCGTTGATGCTTTATTTCATCAACCGCTTTTATCGATAGTTTTTGGCTCACCTTCTTATAGAATATATGAAACTCTAATGAATGAATTTATATGTTTCGTGAAATGAATTAAAATCAATGATTTTCATTACATGACGCCTTTAATGTATTCATTTGACTGTGCGAAATCCTTATAAGTCACACACAGAAATGGTCGATTATATGAAAGTACACTGCAAACTCGCAGTTTGGATCAAGACATGCTAGTTAGCTTTGGTGATGCAAGGAGATTATTAAATGAATATAGTCATTAATCATTAAAGTGACGTAAATAATGTTGTCGTTTTTGTTTAAATTTCTTTTAGCATCTTGTTATATATGGTAATTTTATTTCCTGTATTTTTCTGAATTAAAAGAATATTCGCTAAAAATTTTGTAAACTGTTTTGACAGCTTGGGTAAAACCGTTTGAACTCCGCGAATACCTCTTACGATTTCACCGTCCTTAATAAAGGCATTGGTTCAACTCAGAAAATTTTGACAAGAAATCCTGAGCTTATGATATCAGTAGCATTTCATGGAACAAGAGCATATCTTATAGACAAAAGTCTTATACCAATAGTTTTGTTATGGTTAGACCCAGTTGTTGGATATAACTTCATAACATATGGTTCATTCGATACGGAACGTTGCAGTGAAGGCTTACTTTACATCGTTCAGAAACCGAAGGACTTCAACACAAAAAGATATAAGATAGGAAGGACATATAATATAACTCAAAGATATGACAGTACAGTCAATAGAGTCAAGGTTGTGTTTGTTAATGATATGAGAGCTGCTGAAACAGAACTGCTTGAAGTTTTTGAGAAAATGTATGGTGCTCCCACGAAAGGTAAAGAAACGTTTGAAGTAGATGAGATAGATAAAGCTATAAAATTATTTGACGAAGTTGCTGAAAAATACATGTAAAGCGTTTATTTTTGGTCTTTTGTGAAAGTCAGAAAATAAAGTTAGTTTTATTTTTATTTATTTTTTTATTTTGTATGTAAAGACAGTAATGACAACATTAGAGAACACAACAACAGTTATCGTCCATGAAGCCATAAATGAAGAATACGAGTACATACAGTATAACAAACAGTTACGTCTCATTCGTTCAGTCAAAGATGACATGTACCAAATGCAAAGTATAATGAACGCTCTTCGTTCTACAAAGCAAGCATATCATTGGTTTGAAAACCAACAGACAAAAGAACTTTTAGAAGAATTTCCTCATATGATTGCTTCCCTCGGAAAACCGAGAGAAGAGATTCCGTACGAAAATCGCAAGAATTTGGCTCCTGGTTTGAAAGGATATTATGTTCATAGACTTTTAGTAAACGCTGTAGCAATGTGGGCTTCACCTCGTTATGCTTGTTATATTTTCATGATGTTAGATGAACTATATAAAGCAGAACGTGGAGAGATGGAAAAGAAACTTCAAGCAAAAGATGAAGTCATTGAATCCAAAGACAAAAGCATACAGAAAAGAATACCGCGTTCGGTACCAAAAGGAAAGGAAAAGAGTTATAAGTATATGATATATACTGAAGATTTGGAGAAAGAAGAAGATAAAGATGTGGTTATGTTGCATTTAGTCAGAAGAAACAACAAAAGCTTTTACGACTTAGCTAAAATATATAAATCTGACAGAAACTGGTTCTATCGTGAAAACTTACCGATTTCAATGACTCCGAATGAGCAAATAAAGGAAATTGTCAAAAATACTCTTCCTCAAACACACTATGACATCAAAGGTTGCACAATACTTACATTCAAAGAAGACTTAACATTACTGAAGGAAAAAATAACAGAATATTTCGATAACTTCAAAGAGGAAGAATAAAAAAATCTAAGCTAATTTTATTTTTTTATAAAATTTTATCTCATATGAAAGAACATGAATTTAGAATATTCGGAACTCATGACAGAAGAAGAGAACGAACAACATGTAAAAGATTATGCAAAATTTCTGAAGACATACAAAGCATTTAAACAATATCTAAATGCTTCTAAAGATTATGTAAAATTTCTGAAGACATACAAAGCTTATGAAAAAGCGTATGAAAAGTTTATACATTGGGGAATTGTTGTAAAATATCGATATGAAGACTAACCAAAAATATATTTTTGCTTAAATAGCTTCAGGGTCTATTTCTTCAACCATTTCACTTCCTTCGTCAATGTCAATAGAAGCTTCTTCAACCTTTGGTAAGAATTTCTGTATAACATCTTTGTTCGTTATTGTCTTCAGAGATGAAGAATAATATTTCACATTTGTTTCACCCTTCTTATATTCTTTCTGTTCGGAAAGATTTAAAGCAATACTGAAGAAGTCAATGTTAGAGTTCTTTATGACAGTATAATGAGTATCTTTGACATTCACGAAGAAACTCTTTTGTTTCAAAACTACTGCTAACTCTTGTGAAGTATAACGTTTGCGGTCAATGACGATAGCTAATGGTCTGACATACTGACCAAACTTAGATTCTTTCACAAACTTCTTGTTAAAGATAACATTAACATTTGAAGCATTATTGAACTCATTCTTGATGGCAGTAGCGAGAGCATTGTATGAAAAGAACTTGCAATCTTGCATGTGTTTCATTAAAATAAAAATATTAAATTATTTTGAAAAATAACTTTAAAAAATCTAATCTAATTTTTTCAAAAAATATTTTTTTATTTCCTACTAAAGATGTATCGGAAGTTGTCTAAGTTAGAACACTCGGAAATAAAACAACTTCTTACAGAAGCTAACATAGAAGTAGCAAAACATTACGCAACAAACAAAAAAGCACTCGCTGACTTCATTAAAGACTATAATGGTGCAATAAGTTATGATAGAATTCATGAGTTCATAAAGCCGCAACGCGGCGAGGACGAAGTCCATGCAAGAGCATTTCCTTTAAATGACGTTGCTATTGACTTATATCATAGACGTTCAGTACCTCATGAAGTAAGAAGAGAAATGTTTGACATAACAAATGCAAACGTTGGTAAAACACGAAAGAGAGACGACACACTGAAACAACAGAGAAGAGAGATGTTTAAAAGTGCTATAGAACAAGTTCGCAAAGCTAACGATGTCATTCGTTCCATTGACGACAAACCAAAAGAAGGTGAGAGATGGTTAAAGAAAGATGAAGAGAATAGGAAGAGAAATGTGAAGTCAGGCAATAGACTCAATGACTTTAACATCGAAGCTTTAGATGAACCAAACAGAGACTACTTACACAAACATTTCGGTAAGGTTTTCATGAGACTCTTAGAGAAGATTAAAATAAACTCCCAACAAAGATGGATGGTATGTTATAAACTTGGTGGAAAGTATGAATGTTCTACGTTAAACCTCAATAATATTGGAACATTACTACATCAGCTCTTGAAGGAGAACTTTATATCAGAGATAGAAGCAAATGCTGCAGGTATTGTTGAAATGCACTATGACTTCTTCTTGACAAACATAAAGAATCTTACCGAAATAAAGATGTATGATTTAACAGAATATGAAGGCTTAACGATGTCAGATGTAAAGAAAGGCAAACCAAAAAAGAGACCATATAGAGATGAAAGCACACTGACAAATGACCAGAAAGCCATTTTGGAAGCTCTTAAGCAAACAGGAAACCCAGCACTTATAGAAAGCTTTTGGAAAGATAATGGTGAAAAGAAGTTTTATAAGAAGAGAAGCGGTCAGTTCTGGAAGTATCTTTGCACATTACCTATAAATCTTGAACGCTACCAAATCTTCAATGAACTGAACAAAAGAACGGCAGCACTTATGACAGAAGACAATTGTTTCGTTTATGCTTGCATTCAGGCTGGAGTAGATGGAGAGACTATTGACCACATGAGAGAAGTCATTCGTGTTAGAGACTTTCCTCAAAGTAAAGTACAAGAAATTTCTGACGCAACAGGTATAGCATTTAATGTTACCATTGGTTATTTCAATGACTCAAGACATAATGAAATAAAGAGATACATACCAAAAGAATGTGAAACTGTTCGAACTATTGACTTACTTCTTGTTGAAGACCACTACATGCTAAATGAAAGATTACCAATGACAACATATTTCATTCGCAACTATAAAGAAATTCTCAAAGCTTGTGGTGGAATGAACATTGAGAAACAGATGAAGATTTATACAAAGAGAGAGAACAAATATGTAGTTCGTTATGATAGAACAACACCGTTATGGGATGTTATGAAAACATTGTGGGAGTGCAAATATTTTGAACCTATTTCTTATGGAGAACTTTTCACATATACGACTGACTTATATAAACAGAACCTTGCACCATTTAAAGATTTGACATATGCTCCAAAGTATTGTGTACAACTGAAGAAGAAAGCCGAGTCAAAAGAAGTAAATAAAAATAAGTGCAAGTTCATTCCTGAGCACGTTTTCTTTGCTGACTTTGAGTGCAGTACCGATGGCTTTCATAAAGCTTTTAACATATGTTATGACAGTGAAGATGGTTCAGTGAGTGAAAGCATTTGGGGTCAGAACTGTGCAACAGAATTTTTGGAACGACTTCCTGACAAGAGTTTAATATATTTCCATAACCTCAGTTATGATATAAACTTCATCTTAAGACACATGACAGAAGTGAAAGGAACTCCCATCATTAAAGGTTCACGAACAATGCAAATAACTGGCTTATATAAAGGAAGGGCAATTATTATAAAAGACTCTTACAGTGTTATAAATAAGAAGCTTAAACTATTTCCTGCTATGTTTAACTTACAGAACCGAAAGAAGTATTTCCATACAACTACTACAGCAGTGTTTTGTTAGCAAATGACAACAGAACTGGTGTCATTTCTGAAGCATGTAAGTTTATCCGGGATGCAGATACATTCATGAAAAATAGATTCCATCAAAGGTTGCAGAATAGATGAAAACCACTTCGACTTAGAAAAGTATAGCACATTTTATTGCAAACAAGATGTAAGAATTTTAAGAGAAGGTTTTGTTAAGTTCCGCAATGACATATTGAAAGAATTTGATTTAAACGTTTATGACTACGTTAGTATTTGTTCTAATTGCTAACAAATTGTTTGAGAACAGAGTGTACTTCCCGAATGGAAATTTATATGACCTCTCAAATAAACCAAGAGAATTTATTTCACGCTGTATTCAAGGTGGAAGATGTATGCTGTCAGATAACATGAAACAAAAGAGCGAAAAGAAACTCATTGCTGACTTCGACGCTGTTTCATTATATCCATCAGCTATAGCAAGACTTTATACTTTAGAAGGTATTCCAAAGGTTATGAAGAAAGAAATGTTAAGCACAGAGTATCTCATGAGACATTTATTCGATGACGACCAAAAGGAACCCATTGGTGAAAAGTTTATGTCTGGCTTCTTTGTTCTCATTAAGATAACAGAGATTGGAATACATAGACACTTTCCTTTAATAGTTTGTGACCCTGAACTAAATCCAGAACTTAACGTTCCCAGAAGTTCAAACACTTGCTGTTTAATGTATGTTGACCATATAACATTACAAGACCTCATAAAATATCAAGGTGTCAAATGTGAAGTGTTGCAAGGATACTATTACGATGGAAACAGAGATATTAGAATAAGAGATGAAGTAAAGAAGTTGTTTGAGTTAAGGTTAAAGTATAAGAAAGAAGGAAATCCTTTGCAAGAAAATATAAAGCTCATTCTGAACAGTATTTATGGCAAAACTATTCTATCTCCTATTGAGTCAAAAATAACCATAGTAAATGACAAAGATGCTATAAGATATGCCATCAGAAACTACAACCATATAGTGAAGTTCGAAGGTTTGGATGGTTCAGATAAAACTATTTTCAAGCTAACGAAAAGCATTTGCAGACACTTTAACTTCTGTCCACTTGGTGTTAACATTCTGTCTATGTCGAAGAGAATAATGTGTGAAGTATTCTGTACTGCTGAGGACTTAGGAATGGACATCTTTTATAGCGATACGGACAGTATGCATCTCTACAATGAAGATATCCCTCGTTTAGCTGAAGAGTTTGAGAAACGTTATGGAAGAGTTCTCATTGGTAAAAACCTTGGTCAATTTCATAGCGACTTTGCAGAAATCACACCTGGAAAACAAAGTTTAGCATACAAGTCAATATTTTGTGGAAAGAAGACTTACATAGACTTACTCACGAATGATTTAAATGAAGTTGCATTTCACTGCAGAATGAAAGGCGTGAAGCAAGATGTTATTGCTTTAACAGCTAATGAAATGTTTCCTGACTCTGTTCAGTGTTTCTATGATGAAGATAAAGGTTTAATGGTTCCGCAAGGAACATATGACAAAGACTCTGAGTTCAGTTTAATGAAACTTTACAAAGCACTTTATGACGGTCAAGAGATTGGATTTGACTTATGTAAGTCATGTCAACCTTGCTTTGAAGAGAAGTTTAACTTCTCAATAACGACTAAAACAAGCTTTATTCGTAAGTTGAAGTTCTGAGGTCATTTATTTTTGTCAGCAATGAGGTCATTCGTGATAAAAATAAGCCGCTAGCGGCAAGGGCGAAGCCCATGTGGTCATTTACAATACTGCGATGGTAGAGTTTAAGAGTTGTGCTTCAATGTAGAGACAGTCCTTATGGTCTGGAGGTAAGAACACTGGGCAGTTATGGTCATGAGTGGAGAACATGTCTATCCAAAACTCACGATTGAAGCCAGTTAATTTATAGTATTTAGGATTTGGCAGTGGTGAAGTTCTTGTATGACCAATGAACTCATTTTCAACTCCCTTACTTAAGTTTGAATATAATATAGCTTGCTTTCTATCCCAAATGCCTGGAAATCTAATTTCGGAAAAATCATTTTTCCTCGGAAGCATTGCATCATAATTGAAAACATTCTTGAAATCATCACTTGGTTCAGAGATTTGAAATCTTATACGTAATGGATTTTCTTTCTTTTTAGCGACTTCATTGAATGGTGAGAATACAATGAATTGACAGTCATGAGTTCCATCTTCATTTGCTACAAACTCGTAATGAAAAGCTTAATCTTTCTACAATTCCTTCTTCTTTCAGTTGTGCAAGAAACTCACGTAAAGGCTGTAAAGTTTGTACTTCAATGTTAAACTTCTTTTGAAAATTTTCGTAAAATGTAATTATACAGTCTTCTAACGTTGTATCGTCTTTAAAGTATTTGTATATGTGAATGTTTTGGGCGCTTAAAGACTGTTCGTCATTTTCTATCTCGACTTGAAGTATAAAGTCAACCTTTCTGAAAGCACGTGTTATATACATATTTGTTATGCCAATGTACTTCTCTTCATTTATGTTCACAATCCAGTCTGTTGGAAACTTAAACGTTACTCTGTTCCCCTTTATTTTGACGTCAGGGTTTTCACTACTGAACGCAACAGATAAAGGTATTTGTCTATACATTTAATTCGGATAAAAATAAACCATTTACTCTTTCTTTGCTTCAGCTTCTTTAGCTTTTGCTTCAGCTTCTTCTCTAGCTTTCTTCGCCAGCAAACGTGGGTTCTTTTGTCTTCCAGCAGCTAATGCAGCAAGTTGTTTTTCACTAAGTTTTCTCTTTGGTCTCTCTGGCTTTTGTTCTTGTTTTTGTTCCTTCAGTTCGGATAAAATTTGCTCACGAATTTCTTTCTTCAATGCTTCAACATCTATGACCCCTTGGGTCTTGTCCGTAGGGCTTGTCTGAGTCATTTGACTGCAGATAAAAAACAAAATTAAAACTTTAACCGATGTAAAATGAGCTTGTCAAAATCAGAGCGAGAGTCTATTATATTAAATGACGCAAGAGGAATACAACATCCTTTCTATTACGTAAGTCAGAGTAAAGATGGTAAAATATACGTAAGAAAAAGAAAGGTTCCATTAGCGAATGCAGAAAGCGACAACATTAAGGTGTATGGCAAGGGTGAAGTCCACGAAGCCCATATAAAACCTTCTGTTCAAACTGAAAAGTCAATAGAACCAGAAGAAAAAAGCCAGATGTACTTTCAATAACGAACCAAGAGCTTATTGCAAAGTTCGTGAATTTCATTGAAAAACAAACCGAGTCAAAGAATCCTGACCGCCAGTGAAAGAAGTTGAGACAAAAGAGAATGTACAGTTCATTGAAAATGTCAAGAAACAACTTCCACCACGAATGCCAAGAAGAAGAGTGAGAATAATGAAGTAAATAGATATTTTTATCTGAAGTAAATACATGCAGAACGAACAGCTAAACGAATTTACTCCAGCAGAGCATATTCATCAGATTCGCTCATATTTCGATATCATAGACAATGCAGTTCAAATTGGTGACACTAATAGAAAATATTCTGACGCAAAGATTCCATCACAACCTGGAACTGCTAAAGATAACACATGGGTAACATTCAATCTCTCACCTCCTGGTGAAAATATGTTGGACCTTTACAATACATTCATTACGTATAAAATGGAAGGTCAATTTATTGTAGATAAAGAAATTGGTTCAGGTTCCAATAAAACAAACCCACCAGGATTTTGGATTGGTTTCGATGACGCTTTCTATGCAGTTGCTGGATATCAAATCCTTGCAAATGGTCGTATCGTATATTCTCAAGACAACGCAAGAGAAGAAGCATATATAACTTCAAACTCACAAACTACCGAACAAATAAAGAAAGTAGATGTTTTCTCAAAGACTCGACATGAAGATGTATGGAGTCATTCGGGAACATGCAGAACAGGACAAATTGTTAGTGGTCCAATTACAGCAGGAAAATCATTTGATTTTAAGCTTCGTTTAAGAATTCCTGTTAGAAGATTCCTTCCATTAGAAGCTATTCGATTTATTCCAGCTTTTGCAGGAAACATTCAGCTTAAAGTAAAGTTCAGTAGCGACGCCTTACAATGCACATCTATATCTGTAAATGATATCATTGCTTTCAATCCAACTCTTAAAGTTGCATTTGCTTCAGATTCAAATCCACCGACAAATAAATTTGTTCCATGGAATGAACCATTCACTATGATAACGAAGGCAGTAGAAGCTAGTGGAACAGTTACTATTACAACTGTAACCCAGCAACTATTTCGAACAAAGATGGATTTTAATGAAT